GCCGAAGTCGGACGCCCAACCGACTGAGCCACCCAGACGCCCCCCGGGTGTGGCATGTCTTTGATGTAATTTGTATTTCCAGCCTGGTACTCTCCTCTGCTGCGGCAAGAACCCTTGTTCACAACACACGGAGAGTTTTCTGCCTGTGGAGACTCCCGTCGGCTTCTGGTAGAGACTCCCAGAAAAGTCGCTTTCCACTCATCAAGCAGTCCTTGAGCTGCATGACCGTAGCTGTGGTCCCCAACCCATCGTCTCCAGGACCTTGGGGGTTCCTCCGGCTGTTTTTAGCTTTTGTTTTTTTTTTTCAGCCTAAACCAAAACCTACATTTACCTGTGAAAGACCCCCAGACAATTATGTAATAAATGTAGTTCAGTAAACAGAATCTTTTAAACGTGGGAGTCTATGGGGAGATGAGAGACAGAGGTGGAAATAGTAAAAGTAGTCCTTGGATAGGATGAAGCATGAAAATCACTGGGTTAGAACATTTCAATAATCGCTTCAGGAGGAGCCCTGTATCCACCTCTGTATGCGTCTCCATTTTAGGTATCGACTTGTTCCCTACGGAAACCATTCATATCTGGAGTCTCTGACAGACAAATCTAAGGTACTCTGGGGAGCCCCATCTTCAGTGGGATGCAGAATCCTGGTACCTCCTGACAAAATGGTTTGCTTTTGATAATAGCATTTCTTAGTTTGTTCCTTAGGTGGAGGGGTCTCATGATCCTATGTCTTGTTCAATGCCTTGTCTAGTTCAGGATTAGCTCTTTGGGGCCTACGGACAAAAAGTAGGTTTTTACAGTCTGTCGAAAAGGGCTAAGGGCAGATCAGAGGGGGATGTGTATGGTAGGCTAGGAAAGGAGTCACTGTGAGGTATTTAATACATCTCTGGTGATAAAACAGTTCCTGGGCATTGCATTTGCCCAGGATTACTGCTTCCAGTGAAATACAGACAAACAGGACTTGAGAAATGGAGAGTCTTGGGAACACTCTCTGGTAGCCTGTCTTGGTGCCACACCCTCAGCCAGTTCTCTCTTCTTGGGCAGGAGCTGCCATTATATTGTTCCGGGGGGTTGCGGTTTTTCTGGGACAACAAGTTTGACCATGCCATGGTGGCTTTCCTGGACTGTGTGCAGCAGTTCAAAGAAGAGGTTGAGAAAGGCGAGACACGTTTTTGTCTTCCTTACAGGTCAGTATTCCCTAATGCTCCATGAACCTAGAGTAGGACCAAATAGAGCATAACCAAAGGGACAGTAAGAATGGAGGCAAAACATAGTCTAAATGGTAGGAAAGCAAAATCTTGACACTGATGGGCAAAGAGTGATTCAACACTATAAGCAGGACAGAATATGACCATCTGGTCACATATTCTCTTCGGTGCTCTGGGGGATTTTCTTAGCACAGAGCTCAAGCTGGCTCTCTAATTTCAGGAAGCTTTCCTCTTAAGCCCTTGGAAATACATAGGAATGCTTCCTTTGGTCAAATGTTGTAGGAGCCCAGTGATAGATGCAGACCTTAGTTCAAGAGAACAAGGCTGAGCTGCTTCTGTCACCCCAAAACAAAGCATTTCTTTTCTCCTGCCTCCCTTCTCTCCCCATGAGTTCAGGGATGCCTAGGAAAACAGTCAGGGGTACTGTAACCCTCACTTACCCTCTGCTCCAGGCTTCTCATTTGTTTGGGTGTGTGTCCTGTCCCTGTACTCTGCAATGACAATGAGGCTCTTGTGACAGCCTTCTTGATGTTTGGCTTTTAAGCAAATCCAAAATACACTACCATTCCTCGCCAAGAGTTCTTTAATAGATAAAATGACGTGAATGGTCCCATGATCAAGTCCCTGCCCGTTTGCCTGAACTGACTTAACTCGGATCTCAGTTACTAATGAGCTCTGCTGTGTGCATCTGCAGGATGGATGTGGAGAAAGGCAAGATTGAAGACACAGGAGGCAGTGGCGGCTCCTATTCCATCAAAACCCAGTTTAACTCCGAGGAACAGTGGACAAAAGCTCTCAAGTTCATGCTGACGAATCTTAAGTGGGGTCTTGCTTGGGTATCCTCACAGTTTTATAACAAATGACTTTTTTTCTTAGGGAGATGTTTGCCTTAAAGGCTTTAAATTTTGTTTTGTTTGCAAAAAAAAAAAAAATGTTTTAAATTAAATTCGGGTACTATTAACAGCACATGTTTACAATACCAAAACAGAAAAAATCTACAAAAGCCACTTTATTTCAGGATATCATGTGACAGATAGTTTCCAGGGCTACAATGTGTCATGTACAGCTATCAGCCTTTGTCATAGGTTTGACTCTTAACCCCAAACCTTCCTTTCCCTCTCTTCCCTCAAAACAACTAATTTAAAATTGTTTTTGTTTTTGTTTTTGTTTTGTTAACTGAGTTGAATTGAGATCAATGTGTTTTCACTGGGTTTTATCTCTCTCAACTTCCTGCACTTACAATATGAAATAGAAACTTTTGTCTCCACTGAGACGACGAGATGTGTGAGACGTACAGCTGGATAACGTGAGAAAATGACACATAAGCTTTGGTCACCAGATGATGTGATCAGAAGCTTGCTATTTAACACTTGTCCTCACTTGCTTCCAGTGCTGAATGCCTACTCTGCTCTCTGTTAGAGATATGAAATGGTGTTTGATATTGTTTGAGACATTATGGAGAGATTTAATTATTTGTAATAAAAGATTTACTGCAGTCTGATAACTGCCCAGAAGTGCACTGCTGGTTTTTTTGTTGACTAAAATAGAGCACTTTGTATCCTGGGAGTATTGAGTTCAAGTGCAGGTATGTGAAAGCTCTGTTGAAACATGTTTAGAGATGGATTGGTGTTAGTTTTAAAAAAGACTAATGGCAATAGACAGCTGTGGAGGAAGCCCTATTTGTGTACATGTCAATGACAGAACAGAGATGTTAAACTAACTTTAAGGGGAAATAAAGGCTGCCTCCTTGATGCTCAGTCAAGGTCACCCAAACAGTCTCGGTTTTCAAGCCCCTGGTTAACACTAATTTCCACATCCTATGTTCTCTTTCAGTGAAATGAACAGTTAAGGAAAAGCTATAAATACCTTGTTAAACAAAAACGAACCAACTTCACTAATGTTCTATCTCCTCCCAGCTCCTTGACATTTTCAGTCTGATACAACAAAAAGGACATGCTTGTCAACTTTAACTCTTTGTCCGATGCAGAAAAGCGCACATGAAGTTGGAACACAAAACATAGTCCAAAAGATACTTGGAACTTTTGTACCCTGAGTTGAAGAGTAAACAAAAGGAGGGATAAGCGCAGTGGTGAAGGCTGTTGAATACTTGGCGGGTGGAGCCCGCCTCACGTGTTGGAGGAAGTGGCAGCCCGCAGAGCTCTGGCCTCCAGGTGGGGGGGGACAGGCTGTCGCCCTGGAGTGTTGGCACCCACGCTGTGAGTCAGGATTGCGTAAGAGAACTCAGCGATGCTTTCCAGGGTAATGCCAGTGATGCTCTGCAAATGCTCCACAACCTTCAGAAATAGACGGATTTTTTTTATTACTAAATAATCTCCACGTGTTTTAGTGCACAGACACATCGCTCATGCTGTTCTCTCAAGCCAGATGTAAATTTTTTCATTTCTCTGAGTTTACCGAGATGATTAAATCCAGATCCCAGTGTTTGCCAATGGCCAAATTACATTAGGATGGATACCTTTACCCTGATAGTGTTAGCCTGGAAAGTTTCTGCTAGACATCTCATTGTGCTGGAGATAAGGTCTGTGAAATATAAATGGGACACTTGCGCCTTGACATTGTCTTCTATTTGGGACGATATACTTATTGGACTTGAACATGATAGTGGGTATTGTCAGAAAGGGAAATGAACGAGCTGAACACGGACCTCCATTTCCAGCTCCATAAGGGAAAAACTGGAGAGCGCTTTTCAGACCTCCTCTAGCATTTCCTCTCCCAATCCTGCTTATTCATCCTAATCCTGGGTCTTGACTTATCATTTAGAAGTTGTCTTTTCTTTTCCTTTAACTGATGGGAGAATGCTTTCTATTAAGTGAATTCTGACCGTGCTGGTCCTGCTCAGTGGTGCGTACCTGGCTCCAGCACTCATGGTTTTGGATGAAAGCACTTGCCGCAATGATTCCTACTCCCAACAGCATGAAGTCTTCCTTCACTGAAGCAAACTTCTCCCTGAGTGATTAAAACCATATTAATTTTGGAGCTAGAATGAAATTTGATCTTCCAAACCCGAGGGTCATGGAACTTCAACTAAGAGTTGTTTATGTTGATCATCTTGGACTTTTTGAGATATGGAAGGAAATGGCCAAATAATAGCTAATTGACCCCCTCCCCAGCCCAACTGGGATTAAAACCTGAGCCTTCTGACTCGTTTATGGGCCTTTTGTTGTCCCATCGGTCTTCCTAACAAATGTAACTGTGAGTCTTTTTACCAGTCTGACTTTACAGTAATCAACAACTTTTGTCCAAGTTGCAGCCCTGTGACTATAAGGGCCGTCCAGTAATCTCAAATTTAAGCAGCCATAAAGGAAGAACTAAGAAAGAATGTTAATTACCTGAAGTCATTTAAATTTAAAACGAAATACTTCAGAGTTTTGCTGATTGGGCTTAGTCATCTGCATCCAAGCAATACTGGAAGTTAATTAAAAACAGGTAACCTGTGCAGGTTATCTGTGGCCTGGATGCCTTACTGGGGAAATTCCATTCCCATGGTATGTTCTCGAGGTATGTTCCTAACTCGCTATTTCTGGAAGAGGCCTACCCTAAAGGAGTTGCCTTACCCTTGCAGCTGACTGGGTATGGAGTTTTCAATTGAAGCCCTGAGCAGGCTCTCATATACGGGTTCGTGCAGGAGATAGACAAGGTCGAGCAGGGTCAGGCAGGTTGCATGCAGCTGTGTGGCTGGGACCAAACAGCCATTGTATCCTAGATGGGGTGTGGGCATGGTAAAGCACATTAAGTGCATCTTCTCTGACCGTAATCACCGTTGTCATGTGACCTAAAGCTCTTGAGCTACTGATAATGAGTTCTGTAGGAAATCTCTTTAGTTGGGAGGTCAATTTTATTTTATTTTTATTTTTTTGGAGGTTGATTTTAAAATGTTTATTTTGAGAGAGAGTGTGTGCGTTCGAGCAGGGGAGGGGCAGAGAGAGAGAATCCCAAGAAGGCACCGTGCTGCCAGTGTAGAGCCTGACATGGGGCTTGATCTCACAAACCATGAGATCATGACCTGAGCCTAAACCAAGGTGCCCCAGGAGGTCAATTTTAAAGGATAAAGGGAGGGGTGCCTGGTGACTCAGTCCATCAAGCATCCAACTTTGGTTCAGGTCATGATCTTGCGGTTCACGCATTTTGAGCCCCATGTCAGGCTCTATGCTGACAGCTCAGAGCCTGGAGCCTGCTTCAGATTCTGTGTCTCCCTCTCTCTCTGCCCCTCCGCCCCCCCCCCCACTCTCTCTCTTTCTCTCTCTCAAAAATAAATGTTAAAGAAAAAAAGGATAAAGGGAGAGGTAGAGAAATCTCCATCTACAGTATATATACAGATAAGAGTATATTTGTTTGTTCCCATCTTATCTCATACCTCTCTAGAAAATCACCTCTTTGATCCTACAGCAAGAGTGCCTAGTGAGTCCAAATAGAAGCCAGGTGCTGAGACCTGAGTTTCCTTCCCTGACAAGTACCAGAGGGGACACTTGACTGTGTCCCCAGTCTTCCTGCTCCCCCCCACCCCCAACTTCCTGCTGTTTCTCACTGGCAGGTTCTTTCCACGGCTTCCAAACCTCTGGGCACATTCTTGTTGCCTTCTATGGACGACTCCAACCCATACTCTCTGACACACGTAATAAAGTACCTAAAACCTCCAGAAGCATCTCTACATATGCCAGGGGAGTAGGCAGATTGATTTGGAAGTTCAGGGACTTCAAAACATCAAGCTCTGACTCCAGCAGTTCCTCCTTAGTGTGCACATACCCCAGAGACTGGAGGAAATTCAGGACTGTAACGTTGCTGATAATCTGAGCAAAGAAAAACAAAACAGTGAGAGGGAGAGAAGGGTGTCAGAATAAAGGTCATACATCTTGGCACAGTATACAAAGCTTTTCACAATCCAGCCCATGCCTTCATCGCGTCTTCTCTCTTAGTAATTGCCCCTTACGCCCCCACGCCGTCGTATAGGATTACTTGCAGTTTCTGAGCCCGTCCAGCTCTCCAGGCCTGTATGCGTGCTGTTTCCTATGTCTGGATCTCCCTTTCCTCCCCCTCCTCTCTCCCCACTTTCCTTAACTCCTCTCCATCTTTTTTAAGGACCTTCCCATCTCCTGCCCATACCCCCTTCAAAAAGTCATGGTCTCTAAATATACTTCCTTGACTCTCCAAGGCTGTGGGTGTACATTCATAGCCATCTGTATTTACACTAATCAGAGCACTCTCCCACATTATTTGCCTGCATGTCTTCTCTCATTGGATAATAAATTCCTTGAGATCGCAGGCAATATGTTTAATGTTGTACCCATGGCACCTAGTGCAGCATCTGACCATAGAAGACAGTGAACATTTGTTGAGTGAATGTTTTACTATACAGGCATTGGGTAGGGGTATGGAAACATTTTATCCCCTATAAATGTGACCATTTGTCTTTAATACTGATAGGTCTGTTGGTAATTCAGGCACCTTATGTAAACTGTCCTTGAGTCCAAGGGGAGGAAAGGTGACCTGTATGAATGGTGGCATCTGTCCAGCAATTATACTTTGGGAACAGAACTTCAGGCTATTTAATAACTGCCTCTGTGTGACTGTGCGTGTGTGTGTGTGTGTGTGTGTGTGTGTGTGCATGTGTAGGAGGTATGCCTAGGAAGCATAATCACACTCTGGAATTTCCACAGGAGTAGTAACACCTAGCTTGGGAGCAGGTTTCTCACAGTCACCTTTGGACGAGCTGGTTTCTCCTAACATTCAGGTGTCCATGAGAGACCCCAGTTCCTTACTTTGTAGTGGAAGGAAAGTTTGCTCGCCAGTTGAACACATGACACAAGACGCAGGATGAACTTGTTGAAAAGCTGTTCTTTCAGAGCTTTCCAATTCTGAGGCTCCGTCTTCTCTCTCAGCTGGGTCGTGGCTTGCCTACAGATATTCTCTGCCTGCTTAACCATGAACCTGTAAGGAAGGGCAGGGGAGAGTAAACCATCCGCACTCACTCAAACTAAAGGGAGTTTGTGCTATCGAACTATGCTATATCTCCTCCTCTCCGATATCAGTCCCTTGGTGAGACATGTGCATTTGTAAGTAACAGAGGGTGTAAAACCAGGCCTCATGGTAAGGGACAACTGTACTTTTTTAAGACTTGGAGACATTAGCTATTCTGAGAGGTACCACTCACAAAGACCTATGCTCAGGGCTTTACCTTTCTAGGATTTCTACAGCCTGGTAGCTCACGGATTTCTCCAGACACCATTGTTCAGACAGGAGAAAAACAAACTCTGCCAAAACAGAAAAGAAGAGCCTAATTCACAAGGTGCAACCAAAACCACTCCGTGAACTCCTGGCATTGTGTAAAAGCCACGAGAGGGCCGAGGGAAGAGGGTCAGGGGCTGAGAAGGGGGAGACGGGAACAACACAAGCTGAGCTTAGTTCCCTTTCCTGCCAACAGGCAGATCCAAGCGGACAGAGCCCCCTTGGTGACCCTTGAGCCTTCCTGTGGGTCTCAGCTGATAAAAGGCTTGGCCAGCTACACACAAACATACCAGCTGGTCCAGTTGGCCTCTACACCATGCTGGGAACCTCCAGCTTCAAGAGAGATTCTTGGATGGATAAAAACCCTAACCCCTATATTCTGTTTTCAGTGGAATGTTGACAGGAACAGAAAAGTCCCTCCTGGAGCTTCAATACTCTTCGTAACAGTGTTTGTTTAGTAACCACCCTCTGGAGAACTCCCATTGCTTTACAAACAGGATTCACCTTACAGCTGGACACCATCTCTCCACCACCCGTTTGTTGGGTAAATCTGCAGTGGCTGAGCCTGTCCGCAGGAGCAAGTTTGTTACTGGGGAGTGGCTTGTTTTGAAGAAATATCCCCTACGTCAGGGACCACAGCCCACTCTGTGAGGGGGGCAAGGGCATTGGGAAGATGGGAAGGGCAAGATACCTTGGCAAAATCTTAGGCCGCCTCTGTTTCTCTTTGAAAGAACAGCCCCAGATAGAATTCTATTTAGTTTGCATTATCATTAGAGGGTGGAAACAAGGGTAAATGTTAGTTCTCAACAAAGAAAGCTCCCACAGAACTTGGGACTTTTAGCGCTGGTTAGCAAAGAATTATGCATAGTCAAATGACCATGTGTCTTCAGAGAAAATTTGCCTTTCTTAGGCACATAAAAGTTAAGCTGGCGCAAGACAGTTGAACAGTCTGCCCAACACATGTTACACATATGTACAAAGCCTGGCTGTTATAGAAACTAAAGCCCTGCTAGCAGTGCCCAATGCAGAAGATAATTAGTTTAAGCAATTAAGCAAAATACCCTAGCACACGGAACTGTGTGTTATTAGTCCTTTTGTTTGCTGGAGGTTAGGCCTTACTTCTTCGGTGTGTGTGTGTGTGTGTGTGTGTGTGTGTGTGTGTGTGTTTGTGTGTAGTTGTTTGGGTTTGGTTTGGGACTGAATTATCTGGGCAGTTGTTTCTATTTTCTAGTTTAATTTGCCAAGCAAACTGAGCTAGGGTTAGATGCAATAGGTGATGGTTACGCTTTCCCTTCCTGCTGGCTCTCCCTCCAGCACTTAAAAACATACATCATTTACCTGAAAGACCCTCCCCTTCTATCCTCTTAAGCTAGTTTTGCATCACTGTTAACTTTCTTGAGAGCCTTTGCTCAAACCTGCTGCTTCCACTTCCTCGTGAATTCCCTGACGTTCTGTGGTTTGGCTTCTACTTTTATCAGCTTGCCGGAATGATGGTCTCAAAGGCCAGAGAACAGGTCCAAACTGTTAAACATCATCACCTTTTTGCAACTTTCAATCCCGTCGTTCATATCCCTGAGGCAGCTGACATTGCTGACCATCGTCCTTCTTGAAACTCTCCTCTTGGCTTCCAGAGGTGCCTTGGGTCTGTTCCTATCTCCCTATTTTTAAGAATTTCCTTCATGACTCTTCTCCCTACTCCAGTTGCCTGAACACAAAATGTTTCCCAAGGGAGGAAATGTCTTTGACCTGCTTCTCTTTTCTCCCTCTCAGACTCATTCTCTACCAGTTTCAACAGTATCACTATGGAGATAACTCCAAAACCATTATCTTTAGTTCTGACCTCTCTTCTGACTTTTTTTTTTTTTTAAATATCTTACTAGAAACCTTCCTTTAGAGGTTCTACAAGCACCTGAAACTCAGTGGATCTGAAAACAAAGCTGTTCTCTTTCACAAACAAAAGTCATGCCCTGTTGTATTATTTTTTTACTAGATGTCTGTATTTCTCTTAATGGCACCACTATATTCCCATTCTCTTAGACTCAACCCTTTGGCATGGTCTCCTTTGCCTTCTCCACCTCTTAAATTCACCCACGGCAGAACCCAACATTTTGTCTCTGAAATGTTTTTAATCCATCCTCCCCTGCCATTCCCTCTGCCCTATTGCCTAAACTAGTGACAGAAGATTCCTACTGGTCTACCTCTCCCCTATCCCTCCCTACTCCACTCCATTCTATACATCGCAGCCAAAATAATTTTTTCTAGGGGGAAGGTTACAGTCATATCACTCCCCTATTTGAAAACCTTCAATGCCTTCTTGTTTTCCTACTAAGCCAAGTATAAACAGTCCCCCACCCCGGCCCTTGGCATTCAAAGTCCCATATGGAATGTCTCCAAACTACTTTTCTGGTCTTAATTTCAACTCCTCCCCCACATGCTCTGGACAACCTGGACTTAACCACTGTACCCCCACTCACCCTAAGCTTCCCTGTTTCCATGGCTTTACTCAGGTTAGCCCCTTTTGGTAGAAATGCTGCCCCCCTCCCTCCTCCACCTTCATCAACCAAAACCTCATCCTGCTTTGAGGTCTACCATGCCTGGAGAACACTCTTAAATCTTCCTAACCTCACCTCACACTATCGCTCCTTTCCATCCCCAGAAAGCTTCTTTTATCTGCTGTGTCACTTAACTAACAGTACCTGTACCTGGTCATTTACAGATTTGTTCTAATATCCTCTAAAGATTAGGCATGGTTTGAAAGCAGGGGCTGAATCTCTGTTTTGTCCTTCTGTCCCAAGCGGTGCGGGGAAGCACTCTACATGGGTTGAAATCAAGGGTAGGGTGCTGGTGTTATCTTGTTCATCACTGTATCCCCTGTACCTCGCATATAGTGGTTACTAACGACACTTATTTGAATGAAGAAGGCAAACAGAACCTCCAGGCTGGGGTGCCTCCCAGACAGGTGCCCCAGTCTCCCACAAAACCATCTCCCGGGCCCTGGGTCCACACCCACGATCCGGGTCTCCCTGAAGCTGCCCATCCGGCCGGCAGCCCCCTGCACGGCTCGCTCGTTCTGCTGCGCCAGGTGAAGCAGAGCGTCTTCGATCGTCTCTGTGGCAACAGCTCCAAATTGAAAGTCACTGAGGGAGGCCAATCTTGACCTCACAGGTTCCTGCATTTTCAGAAGCCTTTGGGGGCACCTGGACGGCTCACGGGATCCATAAACCGACCCCCTTAGCTTCACCCCAGTCTTCCGCCACACTCTGTCTGGGACTCCTCGTCCCCTTCTGTGTGCTTGTCTTCACCTCAAGTCTGAGGAAAACCCAGTTTCCCCCACTGCCTCGAGCCTTCTACAGCCCTTTCTCGCCCTAACGGCCACGGACCCCTCAGCCAATCAGAAAGCTCGGTTGGTTTGCCACCCCCTCCCCCTTCCCCTAAGGCCAAGAGTCGCACTCCCCTCGCGAAAGAAAACGCGGACTACAATTCCCAGAGTCCGCTGCTGCGGCCAAGGACGGCTATTCCCAGCAAGCCCCGCGCCTTGGGGTTACGAAGGGCGGAGCGGCAACATGGCGGCGCCAGGAGCTGGTGATTCTCTCGATGCTAAGAGTGGAAAGGCCCCCGTGGCTCAGCGCATCGACCCAACTCGAGAGAAGCTGACTCCCGCGCAGCTGCAGTTCATGCGGCAGGTGCAGCTCGCCCAGTGGCAGAAGACTCTACCACAGCGGCGGACCCGGAACATCGTGACCGGCCTGGGCATCGGGGCCCTGGTGTTAGCTATTTGTATCCGTTCAAACTGTAGGCTCAGGAGACGGCATATGGGGGCAGAGACAGGGGAACAGTGGCGAGTACTAGGTAGTGTGGGGGTGGTAAAAAGAGCCAGAGCCGTGAAAGTCTTGGCCATTCCTGATGCTGAGCCAAGCGTTTAATGTACCTTACTTTGTCACTGTAAGATGCTCTTTTAATATGCTTTGTCAATAATAACGGAATAATCAAGGCTCAGAAAAGCAGAGGGCAGAAGATCCAATCACTGATTTGGGAGGGTGAGAGAATAACAAGGGTGGTGGAACAAGGCTAGGAAAAGGCAATGTGCATACTCCAAGTGGTTTCCTGAACCCACTTCCCCAGATGGTTACACCTTCTACTCCGTGTCCCAGGAGCGTTTCCTAGATGAGCTGGAGGACGAGGCCAAAGCTGCCCGAGCCCGAGCCATGGAGAGGCCATGGAGAGAGTGCCAGATGGGCACTATGCATCTCCAACCTGCTGGAGCCCCTTCACGTGGTGGATGATGCCCCATGACCCTGTGGAAATCAAAGCCTGCACACAGCATTGCTGGCCTCAACCTTGGACGATGAATGAGCCCAAGAAGCCAGGGATTTATTGCGTTTGGCCTGGTCAAGGGAATATTGGCCACTTCATGCTCACTGTGTCCAGTCACTGAGCCCTTCTTATAGTATGTTTCCTTATTTGAGAGTTGTACAACCTTGACCTTGGCTTTTCTCGGTCTTTCTAACTTTGTGGTTTACCTTCTCCACCTCCCAGGGGCTTAGCTGTTATAGGGGTGGGGTGGCAGCTCTGTGTGGTGTTGGAACCTAAAGTGGAAAAGATGGGGTTAGGTTGAGAATAATAAACTGAGTCACCTCTCTTGGAGCCAAGATGCGTGTGTTGAGGCTGAGGGATGGCATGACCATGCTGGAAAGCTCCACAAGCAGTAGCTGCAGCAGTGGCATTGCCCCAGGGAGCTGTAAATGTTTAACTAGAATTACTTTTTTCCATGAGATGTTTCCATCTGATTTAAGGGAGAGATCATGGTAGGTCACTGGGCTGTGTGAGACCAAACTATGTCTCCAGGGAGGGAAGGTCACTCTTTTGTCCTCTACCCTTAAAAACAATACACCCCTACTCCCAACTTTCCTGCCTTTACCCATTCTGAGAGGTGTAGATGAAAGATGAGGGAATTAAAATTCTTTTAATTTCCACTTGGACCTTGCTTTGTAGGCCTAAGGTGGGGTCTAGATGAGATCTTAGCTTGGTCAAGTGCATCATTGGTTGATCTTGCAGTTTCCTCATGAACTGTTGGCAGGAAGCCAGAAAGCGGGGCAGCTTCTAGCCTTGCTCCCATTGTGAGGAGAGTCCCTTCTAAATTTTCCCCTGCCTTACCCCACAAGCCTTTACTCCCAGTTCTTAAGACACAACAGTCAGAATCACAGATTCCTAGTTTTCGGCATTTTAATTGACTGTTGCCAATTCTATGTGAGTACACCCCCTACACTTGTTCAGCTGGGAGTGTGCTCTCTAGAAGCATTAGGGCTTGAGTGGAATTGCTTAGTGGTTGACCTTTGGCTGGGGAGGTGGAGGAATGAGGATGGTAGGCTGCAGAACTGACACCTTCTACACAGTAAATCATTCCCTGTGTTTGGCTCTTCCCTCTAATGGAGCAGCACTCTCCATGCCCCTTTGGCCTTCTACTTCCTCAGTACTGGGGTCTTCTTGCGGAGCTGTGTTGGTCAGCAGATTCTGAGAGCACGAACTCCATCATGGGCCCTGGTATGGGAGAGACACATGGCTTCTGTTCTGAATTCACTGGAGGGAAAAGAAAAAGCACTGACGAAACCTTCAGGATGGAAGAAGGGTGAAGCTGCAGCCAGTTACCATTCCCTGGGCTCGCCCTCCCTTGGGCCCGCCCTCACCATCCTGCCAACATCCCCGGCGAATGTCACCCCCTTGCTTGCCCGCTGCTCCTGGGAGCCGGTGCTGCTGCCACTCAGGGAGTTCCTTCGCATGATGCCTGGGTGCAGGATGGGGAGGGAGAGCACTGAGTGAAGGAAGGGGCCACGGGGAGAGGGGGGCTAATGCCCCCAAACCAAGGGGCAGATCCCCAGGGCCTGGAAGAAAGCCAGATCAGTAGGGAAGGGGACCTGGGAAAGAAGGGAGCCTGGCCACTGCGGTCTCACCAGGGCCCGGGGGCTCAGAGCGCTGCAGGCTGTTGCGGCGGGAGGTGGGGAAACTGCCCTTGGAGAGGCGGCGCTGGCGGCTGGACAGCATAGCAGCTGGGGCCACGATACCCGGCGGGGGCTGCTTCCCAAGCCGGCTGTACAAGTCCTCAATTTCCTTTTTCTGTAGTGTCTGTAGTGCCTCCACCTCCGACAAGTGCCTGAGGAAGCACCAGGACCATGAGGGCTAGCCACATGCTTTGCTCTCCCAAGTCCACCTCTTATCCTTCCTCCCCAGACTCACTTCTGCCGAAGACTCTGAAGCTGAGCCCAGAATTCCTCATCCTCCCCGCTGCTCTCTGACTCCTCACTGCTCAGACACAGGCTGCTGTATGAGTAGTTCATCCACACTGGGCTGGGATGGCTCTGGGGTGGGGGGCTGCCCCCCCCTCGGGGTTCCTTCCCATCGTCCCCTTCCTCCTCAGCTCCAGCCACTAGGCCTTCAGCTGCACGGTCACTTTCGGCTAGAGCCTCCCTGGCCTCCGGCCCGCCTCCAGCACTGTCCTCTGTGTCTGAGCTCTCCGAGGTCAGCTGAGGGGTTGGAGGCTTCAGGGAACTGGAGAGAGTTGGGAATGTTGGTTGCAGGGGTAGAGGCTCAGCTGGTTCCTTGGATGAAGTCACTTGGAAACGCCCCACAAGCTGTGGCTTTCCCTCTGTCGAGAGAGAAGGAAAGAGTCAGGAAAGAAGGGAGAGAAATTGGCAGGGTATGAAGTGGAAGGTGGCAGCGGAAGGTCAGTGGTCAGAGGCCTCACCTTCAGAGATGGGCGCTAGTCTGGCTTCGCCCAGGAGTGGCCGAGCAGGATTTGGCGGGACCTGCAAAGTGTGGGTCCGTGAGAAGGGAAATGACCCAGAGTGGAGCTCCCCTAACCATCCCTCTTGGTTTCCTACTCACCTCACTCTCCGTCTCAGCTGTTGGGGGTGAAGGCCTATCCTGGCCACAAGGAGCAGGGGGAGGGGGCAGGGGCAAGCTAGGGAGGGGAGCGGGAGGGGCTGGAGGAGACTGGGACAGGAGCCCAGGTGAGGGAGACAGCAGGGACTGGGCCACGGTCATCACAGCCAGTGAGAAGGCACTAGCCAGAGAGAGGAGAGGGGCTGCTGTGGTGGAGGGAAGGGGGGAAGCAGAGGGGCAGTGGGGAAAGGAAGGAGGAGTAATGGTGACCTGAGAACAACTGGGAGAGAAGGCAGGTGGAGAAGGGAGAAGGCAACTCAGCGGAGACTGAGAGGCAGGGCCAGGGAACTGGGCAGCACTGGGGGAGAATGCCAGTGGGGAGCTGAGGGTCTGTGGAGAGAGATTTGAAGAGACTTGGGAGAATGGGACAGGACTGGGGCAACATGGGGGAGAAGTGATGGGGGAAATGGGACTTGGGGAGACAGGAGTTCCGGGGGAAAACAGGCTTCCAGGAGACAAGGGGGTTCCAGGAGAAGATGGCGAGGTGGAGAAGGCTGCCCAGCAACTCTGCTCCAGGGAGGTGCTGCTCTGGAGCTCTGCTGGCGAGAAAGGTGTGCTGAGTTCCCTGTCCCCCAATCCCTAAGCCCTTCCCAGGAGCAGCTGCAAAGGTTGTGATGAGTAGGGACAGAACGCAGTACATACCACGGGATGGGTCTGGGAGGGGGTCAGAGAGGGCAGGCAATGGTGCTGGCTCCACCTGAGGGAGAGGAAGGGGCCCATGGTCACAGTGGGGAAGAGCTGAGTCTTAGATGGCGGTTCAGCCAGGGCTTAATCCAGGGCCCATGAACTTCTAGGAGCCTAAAGAGGAGTTTCAAGGGACTCAAAAGTGCATGTGCTAAATATTTACAGGTAGAGGGGTATGATGTATGCAATTCACTCCCAAATGGTTCAGAAAAAAATAATATGTGCACATACATACAGAGACGGGAGAGAAGAAGAGAATGATAAAGCTAACATGACAAAACAGTCATAGTTGGCAAATCTGGGCAAAGAGTAGGAGTTCTTTGTACAATTCTTGCAACTTCTCTCTGTAAGTCTGAAATTCTACCAGAATAATGAGTTAAAAAGAAAAGTATGCATTGAACACATTTTTCTAGAACAAGGGCCCATGGCTTTCATCAGATACTCAAATGGGGTAAGAACCATTGTGTTAGGGTCACACAGATGAAGGAGTTAGAGTCACGGGGGCTGGTGTTGGCAGAGAGTAATGAAGTCTGGAGCAGAGAGTCTGTTCCCCCCCCCCCCGAAGATGATCTAAGAGGTCTGACCTGGGGGCCCAGGGGGTCCTCAGCAGCCTCCACAGGGCCAGTATCTCTCTTCAACAGGGTCTCCACTCGCTGGATGATCTCCCGAATGCGGCTCAGGAATCCGGCTCGCTCCGAGGGCAGAATGAACTCATTATACACCTGGCAAGGGCCAGCAGGAAGGGGACAGAGGGCTGTTATCTCACTCATCTCTCTCCCCTGCACTGATCTTTAAAAACCAACCCTTCAGGGCGCCTGGGTGGCTCAGTCAGTTAAGCATCAGACTTCAGTTCAGGTCATGATCTCACAGTCTGTGAGTTCGAGCCCTGCACCTGGCTCTGTGCTCACAGCTTGGAGCCTGCTTCAGATTCTGTGTCTCCCTCTCTCTGACCCTCCCCCGTTCAGGCTCTGTATTTCTCTGTCTCAAAAATAAATAAACATTAAAAAAAAGTTTTTAAAAACCAACCCTTTACCCGACTGCTCTGCCAACCACCCACCTAAAATAAGTATTCAGTAAGTATCTACTGTATGCCAGGCACCATGTGGTGCGAGGAGAAATACACCTTAGAGGACAGGAGCTAACATCCCTAGGATGCATCATGGCCCAGATGCTTTACATGTCTGAGCTCATCTAACACCAACAACAGCTCTCTCGGGTCTGTGTTAACAACCCCATTTTATTTTATTGATTTTTTAAAAAAGATTTAATTTTAAGTAACCTCTACACACAACATGGGGCTCGAACTCACAACCCCAAGATCAAGAGTTGCATGCTCTACTGACTGAGCCAGCCAGGTGCCCCAACAACCCCATTTTAGAGTTAAGATAACCAATGCTCAAAAAGGTTAAGTTCAGTCTGCCTAACATCACAGGATTTGCCCCCAGACTTGTCTAAAGCCAGAGCCTGAGTTCTTCCCACGGTTGCATCATATGCTTTTGGACATAACTCCTGCTCTCATAGGGCTCATAAACCATGCAGGCTTACTCACACACACACACACACACCAAGTGAAAATAAGGCAATAAATGGTAAATGTAACATTCAATTTCACAAACACTGGAGCACATACTATGTGCCAGGCATTGTTGTGGGTACGGGTACATTGTTCTAGGTGAGGAATGCAGAAAAGCATGTAACAAAGTCCTGGTCCTGAAGAAGTCCAAGATCTAGTAGAAGAGACACATATCTACACAACTCGATTTACTGCAAGTCAGTCCATGGTAGGAAAGGCACTGTGGTCAAGGTACAGATCAAATGCAATACCAGCAGAAAGGGAGAGGTGTCTAATGGGTACAGTTTCAGATTTGCAAGATGAAGAAGTTCTGGAGATCTGTTTCACGACAAAGTGAATATACTTGACCCCACTGAACTGAATACTTAAAAATGGTTAACATGGTAAATTTTATGGTATGTGTTTTCTGCCACAATTTTTTTTAAATGCCATTCCAAAGAGAGAGCAGGTCATGCCACCCAGGGGGAATAAGGGAAGCTGGGATGGCCACACAGAGCTGAGCCTCGAAGCAACCCTTCATCGAGGACCTACCATGTACGGACACTTCTCGTATAATTTCATATCTCATATGTGATCTCACTTCTCATAAATTACATATCATATCAGAACACCTTTGCCAAATGAGTACTATCATTTTACTGATGAGCAACTGAGGTTCAGAGAGCTTAAGAAATTTGCCCCAATTCACCAAATCAGTAAATCACAGAGCTGAAATTTGAACTCGGGTCTTAAGTGAAAGCCCACCCTTTCCTCTGTTCCATGCTGTTCGTCGGGAAGAGAAGGGCAGAGAGAATGGCATGAATTAACAGCTGTGAGGTATGAGAGGACATAGCACATTCACAAAACAGTCAAGACCAGAGCAGAGCTGGGAGTGCTGGGAGTTTTAAAGGCCATGCTCCAGGGGTGCCTGGGTGGCTCAGTCGGTTAAGCATCCGACTTCGGCTCAGGTCATCATCTCCCAGTTCGTGAGTTCAAGCCCTGTGTCAGGCTCTGTGCTGACACATCAGAGCCTGGAGCCCGCTTCAGATTCTGTGTCCCTCTCTGGCTCTGCCCCTCCCCCACTCATGCTCTGTCTCTGTCTCTCTCTCAAGAATAAACATTAAAAGAAAAGAACTTTAAAAAAAAAAAAAAAAAGGCCATGCTCCAGAATTGGGACTTTACTCTGTAACCACAGGTAGCCATTAACAATGTAGGGGCAAGGGGGCACCTGGGTGGCTCAGTCAGTTAAGCATCCAACTCTTGGTTTTGACTCAGGTCATGAACTCAGGGTTTCATGAGTTCAAGCCCTGCATTGGGTTCTGTGCTGGCAGCATGGAGCCTGCTTGGGATTTTCTCTCTCTCTCTCTCTCTCTCTCTCTCTCTCTCTCTCTCTTTCTCTCTCTCTCTCTCTTGCTCAAAATAAATAAGCTTTAAAAAAAATGTAGGGACAAACAGCAGGAAGAGCGGACCCAAGTCTGCTGTAGACACGTGGAGGGTGACCCCTGTGGTCGGGGGAGGGGTCCCTTTGGCTTTGCCTTTCAAGGCAAGAGACCCCTGAGGAGATGGAGGCAGAAGCGGAAAGGCAGCCAGCCTCGTCAGGGGACCATTCAGACACCAGTGTGGCCGGAGGAAAGATTCTTGAAGGGTCAAGTGGCTTGATGGAAGATGATAAGCCGGTGTGCCGAGTGATATTTTGTCTTTGTCCTGGATACAAGGTGAGTGACATGATGGAGGGGAAGCTCCAAAGAGAGTTCCCGAAGCCTGATGCTTCTCGCATTCCCCTCACTCCTTCACCACAGAGGCTGGCATCCATTTCCCCCACTCCAGGGAAGCTGGTTTCGCACAAAGACCTTCTCCTGACAAAAGTCAGTGTGGGCTCGCCTCAGGCTTTACCCCACATCACCTCCTTGAAACTCTCTTTTCCCTCAGTTTTCCCTAACATTTTCTGGGGCTCCTCCTACCTCTCAGGCTCCATCTCTGTGTCCTTTGATGACCTATTTCACCCGTCCCAGAAATGGGGGCATCCACTGAGACCCACTCTCAGACCCTCTCTGCCTCTGGCTTCTCAAGCTCGTCTCCCTTCACTCTCCCTTCCATGCTGACAACTCCTCGATCCACTTCTGCCTCCGGGCCTGCCTGACCATGTTGTGCTCCCAGGGAGGATCTTGCCTGCCTCTCTGTCATTCAAGCTCATCATGACCCCTAAGAACATCTACTTTCATTTTCCAACTTCCTCTCTCCTTTAACGGTCTACTCCCACTAGCTTCTCCACGCTCCAAGTTGCCCATGGTATCCTCTCTCCCTAACTCCCTATCATTTCAACTCAGCAAATGTTTCCTGAGCATCTATTATTTGTCTTGTATTACATCAATAAATGTCTGGAAGGGTGCCAGGGTGGCTCAAGTCAGTTAAGCGTCCAACTCTTGATCTCAGCTC